AGTGAGCCACGGGCCTGCCCAAGGATGACTGTTTTAAACACCTCTGCCATGCAATTCCTTAGCTGATAATGGGGAAGCTGACTACCTAATCGAATGGCCTGGTCTCTTGAACATTTTGCTAAAATACCTCTCAAAAAAGAAAAGAAAAAGAAATGTCCATTTTACAGGTGGGTAAACAAAGGCCAAGAGCAGAGAAGTGGACTGTCACCAGGTCTAGATAGGCAGGGACAGACCCCAGCACCAGGTAAATCCCCCTACTCCCACCTAGCAATCACCCCAGGGCCTCAGACAGAAGCCAGGCTTTGAGAAAGAAGGCACTGTGTCCACACTGCCCAGACAGAGGCACTGGAATTCACGGGTAAAAGGGTCACCACCAGCCAGTCACAAAAGGACAAATGCTATCTGATTCCATTTATAGGAGCTAACTAGAGACAGAAAGTAGAAAGGTAATTGCCAGGAGCTGGGGGGAGGACAAAACGGGGCATTAGCGGGTTTTTTTGTTTGTTTTTGCATTAGTGTTTAATGGGTATGGAGTTTCAGTTTGGGAAGATGAAAAGGTTCTAGAGATATCCCTGCACTGGCCAGCCGGAAAAAAAAAAAAGTTCTAGAGATGGATAGTAGTGATGGGGGCACAACAGTGTGAATGTACTTAATGCCACAGGACGGTACGCTTAAAAACAGTGCAAATGGGGGCCGGCCCATGGCTCACTCGGAAGAGTGCGGTGCTGGTAACACCAAGGCCACAGGTTTGGATCCTATATAGGGATGGCCAGATAGCTCACAGGCTGAGCGGGGTGCTGACAACACCAAGCTAAGGGTTAAGATCCCCTTACCGATCATCTTTACAAAAAAAAAAAAAAATAGTGAAATGGTAAATTTTAGGTTATATGTAGGGGGGGGCTAAATTGTATCCCCCAGGGGCTGGCTGATTAGCTCACTTGGTTACAGCATGGTGCTGATAACACCAAGGTCAAGGGCTCAGATCCCCATACTGGCCAGCTGCTGGAAACAAACAACAAAAAAAAGATAAATAAATTATATTCCCCCCAATTCATATGCTGAAGTCCTAACCCTCAGTACCTCAGTGACTATATTTAGGGATAGGACCTTTAGAGAGGTAATTAAGGTTAAATGAGGTCATGAGGGTGGACCCTAATCCATATGATTGGTGTCCTTATAGGAAGAGATTAGGACACACACACATGCAGAGGAAAGATCATGTGAAGATACAGGGAGAAGATGGCCATCTGCAAGCCAAGGAGACAGGACTTGGAAAAAAGCAACCCTGCTGACATCTTGATCTTGGGCTTCTAGTCTCCAAAACTGTAAAAATATAAATTTCTGAATTTCTCTTGTTTAAACCACCCAGTCTGTATTATTTGTTATATCAGCCCTAGCAAACTAATTCAGTATATTTTACCACAAGTAAAAGAAGTTAAAAAAAAAATTCCATCATACAAAAAAAAAGAATCTCTACCAATATGGTAACGATTATCATCCTCAGGTGATTTTTCTTTTC